CGCACAAGGGGCGCTGTGGCTACGGTAGCACTAAACATGCTTCAAGCAACGTGGAACGAGGTCGAATATCGTCTGGGTATTTGTCGTGCCACCAAGGAAATTCACACTGAAATTTATTGAGAAAATTATACGCACAGAAAATAACTTTGTAGGTTTCCCTTTATAATGGTGTAACCGATAAATGTGTATGCTTTCTGAGATATATTTAATTTATTTTGGATATTTTACTTCCGGATACCCTGTATTTATATCAAAGCAAAGGAGCAGTAAAATGAAAATGCAGGCTTCACAAATGTAGATGAACCTAAGCTCGGAAAGAGAACTGAGCGAATGATAAGAATGCTGCTCCTGTTATTATGTTCCAGCGGTTCGAACTGAGTTCTGTTCCAGGCAGAGGCGCTTCATTCGCGTGTTATACGTTGTGCAGTGCTCCTTATAGGTTAATAAATAGGGGATTTCTAACTCCTTATATCCCAAGCCACATATTTACTAAGGTATGAATTTTCAGTACATTCTCTCATGAACAAAGAAGTACCGTATGCTTCGAAAAAATGTAAACGACATACAGAGGTCGTAAATAAATTCACAGAGTTAAGGCATCGCCATAGCTCAGGCAGTCAGTCGCCGGCTTCGCACAGCGGCGGTCCGGTTCGAGCCCAGATCAGGTCATGTGGCATTTGTGGTGAACAAAATTGCACTGGGGAAGGTTTCCTTCAAGTACTTCGGTTTCTCCTGCCAAGTGTCATTCCACTGACTGCTCCACGTTCATCATCATCTATTATCTATCATCCGGGACTGGTACAATAGACAAATTAATGGCTGACGTACAAAATGGACTCTGTCACCCCACCAGAAGTTACTTAAAAAATAACTTCACAGAGTTGAGTCGTGTTTATTTCAAAACCTAAAGAGCCCATACTAGTTTATTTTGTAGCGAGTATAGCCGTTGCTATGAAACAAACAGAGAGACAAAGGCTGTTGCTTGGTAACGACCGGCAAACACGTCAGCTCTTTCCGAGGTCTCGCTAGCAACCGCCCATAGCAATAACTCTTTGGGACCTTGTTTTTTATTGGTTCCACCCTGGGGCTATATAACGAGGACACCAGGCCGGCTGAAGAGAACCGAGAGAGTCTCTTAACATGGCAGTTAGAGGAATTGCGAGATTTAGTTGAGGGTTGGCAGTTCACCTGTGATCTGGAAGGGTGGCTGAGAAGAGGGTGCTATAGTTGAGTTGGGAACACAGAGGGTTCAGTTGCGGGATATTCGCCGGGCAGGAAGGTCCTGAGCGTTGGAATCTTAAGAATCTCCACTGTTAACATCCGTTACCAGGAAACGGCTGTCGAAGGCACTGCGGGCTGGAGAAAACTTAGTGTTTGAAGCGGTGATTTGTAAATTGTGGAGATTAGCAATAGCGCTGTGTATATAAGTGGTCAATAAATATATATTTATCAATCCGTACCCCGTCTATAGTCACACACCCCTAAAAACGTGACAATATTCTAAACTAGAAGAATCAGTCCATAATCTCCAACGTATTTCTTTAAGATTCGATTTGATATTATCTTCCCATCCATGCCCACATTTCCTTAGTATATATTACATTAAGGTTTTCCATACCAGCACGTCCATTTCTTCCATGCGTTCTACATGCCTAACCCTTCCAATTTTCCTTGGTCTGGTAATTTTAATATCCGGCGGGAAGTACAGACAATGAAACTCCTCACTGTGCAGTACTTTCCGACCTCCTATTGTTTCATCCTCATCACAACCAAATACAGTAGAACTTGGTTATAACGTCATCAAAGGAACCTAAAAATAGTGTCGTTATAAACGAATGTCGTTGTAACCGAAATGGTCACTTCCACAGTAGCCTTATGTTAGTCACGTAAAAATCTACCAAAAACCGAGTTAAAATGTTGCATTTTTTAGTGAAATACGTAGTTAAGTACAGACTAACGTAACATTAACGTGGAATTGCCCAAATGTGTAATATCAAAGACATATTACAGCGATTTTCACTGACAATACACACCATATTTCACGAATCACTTTAACTTTCTCTTCAATGCTTAAAACTTTCCTTTTCATTGCCATGTTTTCGCTACTGCACTTCTCTGGGTTTAGGCAGGGACACTATAGGGTAAGTAGACAATGTGAGGTCCTGTTAGACGAGATTCTAGGAAAGGAATGCAGTTAACAACCTGCCGCGTCCTCTTGCACTATTCACGCAGTCCCACCCCACACCCTTGTTTTCGCATAAAACCCACGCTCCTCTTGCAGCCCGCGGTCGTATTCTTCCAGGACAGTCACGTCAGCAAGTAGAGAAAGTGAGGGTGGGCAGACACATCGAACTTTCCCACGATATCAGAGAAATTCAGGAATGAAAATGACGTTACATACGAGGTTGATGCATGTGTGCATGTCGTACTAAGAAAGGTATAAAAACAGTTGCTTTATGAGGAATTAGTTCATACCATTGAATATTTGACGCAATAGACAAGGTGTCGCAGAAACCGATGTTGCTATAACCAAGTTTTACTGTATTCTGATCCTGTCCTCAAATATCCTCAGTTTTTCTTCCGGTGAATGAGACAGACTATGTTTCATAGCCACAGAAAATTACAGATGAACATAGCGCTTGTATATTTCATCCTCACGTGTTTAGACAGGAACTTGAAAGTGTATCCGCATCAGGAGTCACGAAGTTCTCACGGTGGTGAACATGAATACAGGGTGATTCTGAATTACTGTCGGGGTTTCCGTGGCCTATGGCTTTCAAACCGAGAGCAATAAAACAAAATTGTTTGTAGAATATGTGTCACTTAACGAGTTTTACTACTTATAAGATCAATACTGCAGATTTCTAAAAACTTTAACATGAGCGCCTTCATTTTGTTGTCTCTGGTATGAAAACTGTAGGTCACGGGAACACCGACAATAATTTAGAATCACTCTGTCTACTCGTAACTGTCTACTGAGATATGATGCAGTGCAATTCAGTAGAGAAGTACCAACGTCTTGGAGGAACCAGCTGCGTCCATCTAAAGGGAAGGAATACAGAAAGGCTTACCTTAAATTCGGAGGATGTTTTTTGTTCCATTTTCAGGGTGAGAGAGGGAAAAGTTCTTTCAAAATGTTGGGTAACTATCTATCAAATTATACGGCATCACGTTCTAGAAAATGGTAACCTACCTGTAACAATTTTGTCGAGCGATCTTGTTGTTCGATCAAACCTCTGCTGAAGGCATGATTGTCAGAATATGGGATTTTACTGTATGACGGGCCTCGATAACATCTTGTCTTCTCCAGTTTGCAAATGAGAAATTTACTGGGTAGTGGCGCTGATCACTTTGCTATTTCGTCAACATCTAGAGGTAAAACTGAAGGGGACTTCCTTTTTGGAAATTGCATGAAGATAATATAGAGTGACATAAATAAAGTCTAAAATCTATTTTATTGTGGTATGTGGTAGCGTAGTTGGTTGAGGAACTATAGCACAAGCCGGAAGGTGGCGAGTTCGATTCCCGATAAGGGCTCTGGATTTTTTCAATTGACCTAATGCTTCCAGCCGCATTACGGTCCTGGGCTCGACTCAGCCTGTGACAGAAATGAGTACCAGGAATCTTTTTTTTTCCCCCTTGGCACTACAGCCCCAGTGGGCCTAGGCCTACCTCCATGAACTCCGTTCACTTCGGTTTTTCTCTATCTTACACATACGGTAGGACTCCTTGGACGGGTGATCAGCTCGTCGCAAGGCCTCTACCTGTAGACAAACACAGAAAAACGCACACAAATATCCATGCCCTGAGTGGGATTCGAACCCACGACCGACTACCAGGAATCTTCCTGGTGCTAAAGGGAGGCCGGCGGGTAAGGCTGACAACCTCACCGCCATCTATGATTCGATTGTCTAGAAAATATAGGAACCGCGGACGTCTCACAGCCCTATGGGCCTCCACGGCCTGTTACAGGGATAGGTTTACCTCTAACGCATTGTGAAAGGACGCTATAACCGACTACTCAAAATCCGCGACATGTATCTTGGCTGGTAAACTGTCATTTGGAGATGTATAAATAAAAACTAACTAAACTACTTCACGACTGGCGGTATACCGTCACTCAATTGGTCTTGGCGTCAAGAACGTTGAGACTCACGAGCAGAGACCTTCATTTACAACTGAACCCTTGCAGTAATTGTCCTTGTGTAACATCCTCTCTGACGAGAAGATGGTTTTGTCTCTTACGAATATGTTGGCCTTTCGTCAAGTGTATGTATCGCACATACAGAATGTTATTGAAAATTCTTCCTTGTGCACTATATACACAATTTCTCTGTTAGTACAGGCTTTGCAAATCAGATCATGTCTATGTTACGTATCTATATTACAACGGCAGCTTAGTCACGTGAACGGTCGTAAGGTTGACCGTCGCCAAGTTTAAGTCTCTTATATATTCTGTGTCTGGCTCGCCTTGTCCTATACTGCGAAAATGTTCATTCTCATGATTTGTATGACTTCTGCTTGTCACCTGCGCAGTTTTTTTTTTATATAATCGTATGCATACGGAAGGTTGAAAGACGTGTGCAAATCGCGAACCGGCATTAGATGAACGTTAGTGGTCAGCTTCACCCACTTGCCTTTTAGATCCCGGGGAAAGAGCCCCTTTACCCATCGGATAGGAGAGTAGTTGGGCCCCAGAGTCGGTCTGGAAGCTGTTGAGGGAAGAAAAATCTTGCACTGCCGGGAATCAAACCCGGCCCGTCAAGCCTGTATCCCGTCGCTACAGCGACTGAGCTTATCCCGACTCGTACATCCTGTATGCATCTACTAATATGAAGGGAAATTTCTGGCATGCCAGTGAAATTTGCCTGCTGGCATTCATAGAGCGGAGAAACTGATAGGACCGCCAGGCGTTCCTCCACACCTCGTTCGTGAAGACGCTAGGCAGTATCTGAAAACTGCTGGTGATCTAGTGTGAGTTTGTTTGTCTCTCTTCACAGGACTACTGCACGCTCAATCTGGCGCGGGAGCAGCCCGGGTGAAGTTAACTCGGAGTGTGACTGCCACTTCGACCCCTTCCTCAAATACGCAGCCAACCTTCACATGGCCCAACAAAAGTAAGTGCCTGTTGCTTCATATCTCTCTTATACATAGTTTATTGGTTGCATCATCAATATTTCTTGGAGTGACGCTTTCCCGTAAGAGTGCAGGAATCCAACCGGTGCAAAGACAACTTTTCTTATCTCGTTCTTTCTATTATCTTCCTTCTCCTCCTTTATTTCTGTTTCTTCCCTTCTTCTACCATCCACCCATCCATCCGTCCGACCATCTACCTACCTACCTGTCTGTCTATCTATCTGTCTGTGAAATTCTTTGTTCCACTTCAGTTTCTTAATCTTAGACAGTCGGTAGGACTCTTTGTAAGGGATAGCAGCCCGTTGCAAGGACTCTATTTAAACAGGCAACACAAACAGAATGAACACAGAGAGACATCCATGCCTTGAGTAGGATTCGAACAAACGATCCCAGCGTTCGAGCGAGCGAAGAGAGTAGATGCCTTAGACCACGCGGCCACTGGGATCGCCCATATGCGTAGTACGAGAAAGAATTCAGACTGTGAAAAAATTTGTCTCGAGAATTTGGCGAAATGTCCTCAGCCCCACCCTCCTTAAAATACGGGCCCTTTAAATGGGTATAAAAATGAAAAATTTAAATTCTCCCGAGAATGGTGCCAATAATTTTGGTTGAAATTCAATAATTTATGAATTTATGGAGTTAAGACCCCAAAACAAAATCATGAAGATGGTGTCTTCGGGAACTTAAAGAGATCATCAAACAAGAAAAAAACTCCGTGGTTTTAGTCGGCAAGCGAACTATACCGACCGAGTGACCGCCGCTTGTCGACGAAGTTAGTGCCAACTTTAGTGGATGACCTCACGTATAAACTCACAGTGTTCGACTGATGGCGCCAAACGTCAAACGGTCTGACACGTGTAATTACATTCGTAATTTCACGTGTTGTGTAATTATCACTGTAACACACCGTGGAGCCCCATAGTGTTGTGAGGCGTCGAGGCTCCCACACTTTCTAGGCAGTCGGCTCACAGATGGCGGTGAGGTTGTCAGCCTTACGCCCGGCCGCCCTTTACCCCCAGGAGGATGCCTGGTAATCATTTCTGTCAGAGGCGAAGTCGACCCCAGGGCCATAGTGCGGGCGGAAGGATTAGGTTCATTGAAAAGTCCAATGAGCTAAGCGGGAATCGAACTCGCAACCTTCCGGCTTGTAGCATAGTGCCTCAACATACTAGGTGACTGTAACCGGATTGGTGATCTGACTTACTGACCACTTACACACTCACTCGTAATTATACTTAATTATAGCGCCAATGCTAATATCAAACATTCAGCTCATTAGAGCACACAGTCTGGTGCTCTCAATCTGTTACTAGGCGTTTCCTGGTAACGGCTCCAACAATGGCTATCTCTCTAACTCCTGCTCAAGTCCTCTCTTCATAGCCTCCCGCATATAACTGACTAGATCTTAAAGTCAAAATCAAAGTCAAAGTCATATTGTGACTGACAGTCAGCCAGTCAGTCTTGATGTGGAGCCCAGTCTGGTTCTTATGACCAGATATTTAAATGACTGACTAGATCTAACATTGTCCCTTTTTTATAACATCTCGGCACGGACCACATAGAAAACAGCTCTTCCATTGTTGTAGTGCAACTACTGCATTTTTAAGAATGTACTGCCTAGCAAAGGGAACGTTTCTACCGAGTCGTTACCCAGAAACGGGACTGTTATATCCGCTCATCTCCTTGTCGTTCCATAGCAACGGATCTACAGGCTACAGAAGTTTTCCTGTTTTGGGGTACATTCGTCTAAATTGATCTAAAGCAGACGAGATGAAGAAAGTTGGAAAGTGGAATGGTGATAGGAAGAAAAAACAAAAGCGACACGATAGTACTATTGGAGAAAAGAGGGAAGAAGGAAAACATACTTAAATTTACATAAAAATAGAATGTCCTTCCGTTGATTTGTGAACGGGAATTACAGTAGTTTTTGCAAGAATTGAGACATTCTAAACTTGACCTAAAGAATATTTCGGAACGTCAAAAATACATAAAAAGCGGACGTTGGAGTCAAATGAGGGCCAGAACGACCCACAGGCCCCCTTTCTTTTCCTGATCATTTTACGCCAATACAGTCATCAGACCTTACTCCATTCTGTTTTGTAAGGCCTGGAGTATCAGGGAGTCTCTATGAAGTTCAAGAGAATGGTGAGGAAGCGGCAGACCAAATTGTAAATGAGGAATCCCGAATGGAATTATAGTCGCGAGCCTTCCGCATATGAGACGCCATGCTCGTGTTTCTAATAAGATCGAGAAAGCTGTTCCAGGTCGATTACTTACATATCAGTGATGAGGAGCGCATTCCATGTCGAGCTCTTGCTTCGGGCATAGCAGCGATTCGGAATAAGTTATTGCCGCTTACGTTGGCATGTAGACTGCACATTCCATGGCATACGGCTGGCTCGTGCGTAATACAGAGACGGCGGGGAGAAGCAGTCCAGCAGCGGGCGAATGTTCTGTATTCGCGAGATCAAATTATAGTCAACTGTCCTCACAAATGTCTCCGCTACTAAAAATATGGACTGGTTTCACTGGGCCTCGCTCTCGTTTGTGAGTTATTTAATGACGAGCGGTCAGTATGTAGATTATATGCAAAAAACAATCGTATGATTCGCTCAGTGGGGGGTGGAGTCCAGCTGGGTCCACTCTGCACGGCGGCCACTGATTGGCCTATTGTACCTGCCCCGGGTGATTATGATGATGGAGAATTTGATGGAATGAAGATTGGCAAGGGAAACCGAAGTACTCGGAGAAAACCCGCCCCAGGGCCACTTTGTCCACCACAAATCCCACTTGATCAGACATGGGATCGAACCCGGGCCGCCGCGGTGGGAAGCCAGCGACTAACTGCTTGAGCTATGGCGCATCCTACGATCGTATGATAGTGAATAATAAGTAAAAGGGATGTGGGACGAACCAGTCATAGCCTTGTTTGATACACTATTTCGAAGCTGAATGGAAGCGCTGAGAACACGACAAAAACCTCAGTCGGGATAGTCCGTGTCCCATATGAGATTTGAACTCAGTAACTGTCCAACAGAAGCATAGAGTAATTCCTCTAGAACAACCTTCTCGATGACTAACACAATATCTATTGGTTGTTGTGTAACAGTCTAACAAATTAACTAACTTCATGGAACTGAGAGCCATTCTTGAGAAGATGAACTTCCCAATATCTTATGGAACCCGAATGTTTATTACCGTGTTCATGAGAGCCCTTCACTGGTCCCTATCCTGAGTTAGATCAATCCAGTCCATACCACCGCATCCTGTATATCTAAGCTCCATTTTAATATTGTCCACACACACTTATTGGTCTCTTTTCATTCTGGCTCTCCCACCAATAACCTATATGCATTCCTCTTCTTCCACATTCGTGCTACACGCCCTGCCCATCGCATCCTCCTTCACCTGATCATTCTAATTATACTTGGAGAAGAGTACAAGTTATGAAGCTCCTCATTATGCAGTTTTCTGCAGCCTCCTCTCATTTCACCTCTCTTCTGTCCAAATATTCTCCTCAGTGTTCATGAAGGAACCTGCCCTATACAACAGACTTCTTACATTCCTCGTACCAAATCTCATGCCCATTTTCTTTAGTTTAGGTCGTTTATCCAAAGAACTACATAGCAAAGAACAACAACTGCACGCTTCATATGATGTCGAATGAGATATTAATTTTGGACTGTGCAGTTATTTCAAATGATTAAGTGGCCGTGGTCTATTTCAAACACGAAAGAGGAAACCTATTTCTCTATTGTTCAGACTTCCAGTCTTACACATTGCGTGCTGCTACATGTTGCGTTTCGATAATGTAAGTTTATAAACCATGAACTAAATGGGACTTTGTCCGATGGGACAATGTGCTGAGCTTCTGCGTGAATGGTCATGGGATTGAATCCTACTCGTGTCNGGGGGGGGGGGGAGACGCGTTGACTCCAGCTTCTAGCTTGAAAACAGAACCTAGGTTCGTCCGACATGTTGGTACATGTCTAACAAACTACACGGCGTTACGTCCAAGACGTCTGAATCATAATTTGAACCTGTGTTTCTTGCAGAAGATCTACAAGTACAGTTAGAAGAAGATGAAAGAGGGTACGAGGCAGTGGTAGTACCCTCTGGGGGTCCTCCTGAGCTGGACGGGGGCGTGAGAACCGGAAGGGATGGCAGAGAAACCTGGGGACGAGGTGCGGATTTCCTGCTCTCGATCATTGGGTTCGCCGTGGATCTCGCCAACGTATGGAGGTTCCCATACCTTTGTTACCGAAACGGTGGAGGTAAGTCCTCTACCTTCCTTCAAAACAGCTTATGTATGTCCTTCATCTGATATGTAAAAAGAGTAAAGCTATCCCTGTACCAGGCCGAGAAGGCACATGGGGTTCTGAGACGTTAAGGGTCCCTCACTATCTAGACAATCGGCTCAAAGATGGCGGTAAGGTTGTCAGCCTTACGCGCCGGCCGCGCTTTACTCCCCAGGAAAATTATTTAATTAATTACTGGTACTGATTTCTGTTAGAGGCTGAGTAAACCGCAGGGCCTAGTGCGGCTGGAAGGATTAGGTCAACTAAAAAGAATCCAATGACCTCATCGGGACTTGAACCCGCGACCTCCCGGCTTCTAGCATAGCCCCTAAACCAACTGGGCTACCGCGTGCCCTTCTACATTACTACGGCCTCTTTATCTATATTTCTGCATCCTGCTGTGTGTCCTGCCACGAACGTACTCTGAAGGGCCGTCAACACAACAACTGATTATAAACCGAAATGAAAATAGTTAGTATTTGAATTATTTTATTCTTATCCCACTACATGCGTCCATCTGTCAAGGCCATCATCGGGTGGTTTTCATGAATTACACATGTCGTTACTGAGTTATTAAAATTTTAATAATTCAATAACAGCACATGCAATTCATAAAAAATCACCTAATGATGATCTTAACAGGTCGAAACATATAGCATAATGAAAAAAACTCTTTCTTCTTGTCGCTCATTTGACTATGCTGTCAATAGCTCCGATTTTATTGTCACGGATAGGATGATTGGATTTATTGACCTTCGCAAATCCGGACTACAGGCAATACAGCGCTGTCGCTGAATTATACACTTTACAGTTCACCGCTACACAAACACTTATTCAGTTCCGTAATCATTTTTCACAGGCGGTAGGACTCCCTGGGCGAGTGATCAGCCCGTCGCAAGGCTGCTAGCGCAGTACAGGACAACATAACACGGAATAAACGCATACACACACCAAACATTTATGCCCTTAGTGGGATTCGAACCCACGATTCCAAGTACCGAGCGATCGAAGACAGTTCGTGCTTTAGTTGGCGTGGGTACTGTGACCGCCTAGCAATGGGTATACACGTCACAATATGAAGTTAAATAGTAGAATTACAGATGAATAATGAATTTGAAAGGATATTCTTAATGATGACAGTCGGTGAGCCGGCCGAAATTGGAACCCAGTTCCTCTACATGCCACAGAGCTCAGTCGATACGCAGGTCTCAAATCAGTTTAAGGGAGCAGCTCCTGATGATAGACGAGCATAAGTTTCACTCAGAGGCAGGAGCGACGGCGGGGCGACAAGCCTACGGGGAATTCAGTATTTCAAAAAATGATAATTATAAATTGGGTGAAATCTGAAGTGCTCACGTTGGGGCCTATGCAAATTATGTCCGAGCCTTTTCTGGGATGTGATACCGTGCAGTCTGTTACGTTTACGATAAGGAAGAACGCATTTGCCTCCGTTTGTCAGAAGTTGCGCATTCGTCTCAGTCATCAAGAAACATGTACCAGACTCTGCAAAGCCACTTTTTGTACGACGGTAACTATGAATTATTTGAAATGAATTAACGTATGTAATAAGACTAAAAATAATTGCTTAAAAAATTACTTACGTAACACCCGTTGGGGGCCGCGCCATAGCTCAAGCGGTTAGTCACTGGCTTCCTACCGCGGCGGCCCGGGTTCGATCCCGGGTCTGGTCAAGTGGGATTTGTGGTGGACAAAGTGGCGCTGGGGCAGGTTTTCTCCGAGTACTTCGTTTTCCCCTGCCAATCTTCATTCCACCAATTGCTCCACAATCACCCTCACCTATCATCTCGGGCTGGTACAATAGGCCAGAGGTGGCTACAGTACAAGGGACTTACTCCCACCCCACTAGCAATAAAAAACACACGTTGAGAATTCAGGGCGAAAACTCATAATTTTTTTGTATAATCTTTCGTACCGTTGTCTTCCTCTGCTTTCTCCCGTATTCCTAACCAACCCTATCTGGTATCGAATGTTGCGTCGAGGCCGACGTTTAACGCCATATCCCAAGAACATTCACAAATATTCAGTAGTAAACCGTCTCTTTATACAGTATGCCACATATCCACATCGAAANTACATATTATCGGTACTTACGGAAGAGAAATGACGCACTGAAGACTGCTCGTTAGTTCTTAATGTTCTGCATAACTGACGTTAGTGGAACGTGTTGACACTCAACAATTTGTTGCCACGAAACCAGAAAGTGCCTAACGTAAGAGCTTCTCTCTCACCGTTACATTAATTTCCAGACACCCACATGCGCAGAAGGAATACTTTTCGACCTCTTTCTCATCCCAACGACGAGATTCGGTGTTTTCGTTTTTCATTGCCGTTATTCTGTGTTACTGACAGGCGCCTTTCTAATCCCGTACACTCTGATGATGGTGTTCGGCGCAGTGCCTCTATTCTACATGGAACTGATCCTCGGACAGTTCAACAGGCAGGGCCCTGTCAGCGTCTGGAGCATCTGTCCTCTCTTCAAAGGTGAGATATTCTTTCCTTCTGAAGCCTAAAATTAATGTAATGTTGCATTTTAAGCATCCTGTAGCACTAATATGTTTATTTTGCTAAATTGATCGATAGACTCTTCAACTCTGAAGAAAGAGGAAAAAATTCCTCCGAATGTCGAAAAACATCTGTTAGATCGTATTCGTGGAGATTTATGCCCTGCAGAGGCATTGCAGACACACGTTATGAAGACACAAACCATAGAAATGTTATCTGCTGCAGGTGTGGGTTTCTGCGCGGTGCTCGTTGCCTTCTACGTATCCTTCTATTACAACGTCATCATCGGCTGGGCCCTGTACTTCCTGGTGGCGAGTGCCACACCAGAGTTACCCTGGCTCCACTGTAACAACACGTGGAACACGGACAGTTGCACGGAGAGCGAGATCACTGATAGCAACAATGGCAGCGCCAACTCCTCCGTCGATGCCCCGAGCCCCAGTGTGGGCAGCGTCGCTGCGGGCGGCGGCGCGGGGAAGCTCCATTTCTCACCGGCCTCAGAGTACTTCCAGTAAGTCACCCTCGCAAACCCCAGTTTGTTAACCGCTTTACGCGACAAACACTTCTCACAGGAAACATGTCTTTACGAATATCCTTTGCATTGAGTCCTTCCGCCCACAAAGAACGCACAATAGAACACTACTCTTCGGTAGTACACACCTAAGCATGATCGCCATTTTGACTACAGAAACCAGCCTCTGAACATGTGCATGCGCGTCTGTTACCTACACTATAATGAAGTTTGACTCTGATTTGTTTCATTTTGGTCCGTCACACTAACAGTTACAATTATAAAAGACAAGTCTGTCCAGTGTGACTATTTCAGTTTTCTCACTTGATGATTCACTAGTCTTACATGTTTCGATCCATTTGGATCATCTTCAGACGCACCAAACACTTTTTTGAAACCACTATCACAACAGTTGTCATACCAAATACACATGTATTGTCCAGTGATACAATGTTCCATTTATCAGTCACAGCCTTTCTGGCCAGTGATTGAGGCTAGCTCTTTCTAAGGGACCCAACAGAATAGGTGTTTTACCTCACCTGAGGACGGAAACAGATCCAGTTTCCGAAACGCCTTTTTTTTCTTAGTTATCTTAAAAACAGGACGATGGCTAAAGTCCGAAAACCCAATATCTCTCTGTGTTATACACCATCGTCAGAATCCTATAGTAACTATTCAACTGCTCTGTAAATCACTGTAGTCAGTGTACTTATCGAATTATTACCGATCTAAGAGTACATCCAATAAGTTCAGCGCCATATCACTGGCCCCAGTGTATTTGGAATATGTGTCCCTTCCGCACCACTGCTGTCGTGTTTGTGTGGCCGTCTTCATCAATAGTCTCAAGAACAATTCCAGAAATTCTACTCTATGCTCTGGTCCTACCGCCGTCAATCTACTCCTAACGAGCATTTTCTTTTATTGCCGAACTCAGCGTATTCCGGTAAATATCTGGAAGATATTGTAACGTGTTTCGGTACTGAAGACGCCGTAGAGATGGTTAATTGGTTTATTTAACGATCTACAAGTAACTGCTACAATTAATTATCACAATGTTACGGGTTTCCACACTTTACAAACCCTACAACAAAATCTCTTAACACTATCTTCCAGAGTCTTCACGTATTAATAACGCGGGAGCTATATAAGTCTCGCTGAATTACACACTCCAAATATAACTTGTTATCACGAACTATCACTGATTCTCGCACACGCGTCTGTAGCTGGTAACTTGCGAACTGAGAACTCGTTGATAACACACTGACTCTCGCTTGCTGCTCAGCCGGCTTTTATTCCGTTCGCTGTTGCTAGGGTCGCCCGCTACGTCACAGTAGGTAGCGGTGCCGCGTCACCGTGTTTGCGTATAGCCTAGCAACGCTGTTACCTCGCGTCGTCTTACGTCACCGCGCGTTGCGCGTTACGTCACCGCGGGGGGGAGGGAGCGCTACGTTACCGCCACGTGCCGCTGGGGAGGTAGGGGTCCTCCGTTGCCCAACATGTCACAATATCTTCTAGAAAATTTCCAGCAAATGTTTCCCCTATCAGCTACTCCACAGTACCTCCCTTTCATTGCTAACAGAGTTTGTTCCAGGTTCAGATAACGAAAGTGTAGCAGTGGATAAAATATAAAAAAAATTCAATAAAATCTTGAAGAAACTGTTAATATAGCATGTAGAGCCGTTGTTATGGAACGACTGCGAGATGGAATAATATACCAGGGCCGTTTATGAGCAACGGCTAGGTAAACACATTCCCGTTTCTAGGCAGCAAATTTTGAATAACGCAACATTTGGACTACAATAATGGAGCAGCTGTGTTTTGTGTGTGGTTCTTGCCGATATGTTATAAACAAGAGAAGAGTTTAGACCTAGTCAGAAGAAACCTAGTGCCTGGGAGGATAACTGGGCCACCCTTTACCCAGAGGAGACTTGGTCCTCCAGGTTGGGGAGTCTCGAATCTGAGATAGTAAAATATGGTTATTAGTCCCGCGGGACTCAGACCCGAGAATGACTGCGCTGGGCAGGACCAACAGCAATTGTAAAGGATAGACACATCCTCTCGTGAGAGAGGATATTACGTAAGGACTATAGCTGCATGGATCCAGCTGGTGAAAAATACTGGTCGTGAGTCTCAAGGGGCTTGGCGCCAAGATGAAACGAATGTCGGCAAACCGCCAGCCGTAAAGTAACTCTGACTCTGACTCTGACCTAGTCAGTTCTGTTTGCGAAAAGATGATTTCAGCCGGAAGCAGAGGAAAATCCATTGTTGGAGACGTTACCAGGAAACGTCTAGTAACAGACTGAGAACACTAGACTGTGCTTTAGTGAACCGTAAAATGCGAAATTAACGACAATGTTACGATTATAGATATTTATAGTTACAACCCTTAAATGGTCAATAATTCAGCAATCAAAACCATGTCTAGAGTCACCCCTACACATAGCATTATGTATGAAAGCAAAAGTTGGATCGTGACAAGTTAGTTTCATGCAGGAAGAATTTTCCTCGCAACGTAACTGGCAAAATTCCTTAATTTGTCAATGCGCAATGCGCACGAGTAAGAAATAAAAATCTGTAATACGTAGGTCGTACCGAAAGTCATGAGCAACTTTTTTTTGCATGCAACCTGGGAACAGCAGACGAAAGAGAGTGGTGGTAGGTGGAACCAGCTGTTGTGTTAACCTTGAGTGTCTTGTGACGTCAATAGCTTGCATCACGTGACCAGTATCACTCCTAACAAAATGGCCGACAACGATATATCGTTTCGCCAGCGTGCTGTTATCGAATTTCTTGTGAAAGAGGAATTCCCTGCTGCAGAAATTCACCAGAGACTTCAGCGTGCTTATGGAAATGTGTGCATGGGTGAGAGCAGTGTTCGAAGATGGGTGAAACATTTTAAAGATGGGAACACCAGCATCGAAGATGAGCCTCCGAGCTGCCGTCCTCGAACAGCCTCAACTGAACGCAAGAAGGAAAGAGTGGATGAGATCATTCAAGATCACAGGCGTGTGACTGTGGACACAATAGCCCGAAAACTTGGAATAGGGCACAGTGCAGTACAAGAGATGATTGAAAGCTTGGGCTATGTGCTCGTTGGGTCCCGCGGTTATTGACCGAAGACCACAAAGGTCAGCGAAAAGCCATCACCTCAGAACTGCTGCAGAGATATCGACACGAAGGCGATGATTTTTTGCTCTGCATTGTGACAGGTGACGAAAGCTGGTTTCACCATTTCGAGCCTGAAACGAAACGGCAGAGTATGGAATGGCACCATTTGCATTCTCCATCAAAAAAGAAGACAAAGACAGTGGCATCAGCTGCGAAGGTGATGGACACAGTCTTCAGGGTTGCAGAGGGGCTTATTCTGGCCGAATTCCCGGAACCTGGGCAAACCATCAATGCTGCTCGTTATGTCCAGACGCTGCACAAGCTCCGTCGTGCATTGCGCGATAAACGTCCGGGACGAAACATCATCATCCTTCATGACAACGCTCGCCTCACATTGGAAACAATTGCAAAGATGGGGTGGGAAGTTCTTCCACACCCCTCCTATAGCCCTGATCTGGCGAGAATAACCGGTTCTAGTTCGGATGATTGGATTTATTATCACCTTGTTTACAAGTTCTCTTAATCACATTTAAACACAGCGCTATCGCTGATTTATACAATTTCCAGTTCACCGTTGCACACACACACTAAGATTGCCAGTCTTCACTAGTCGTTTCCTGGCAACGGATCTCAACACAGAAACTTCGGCTCCCTATGAAGTCTTCTTCTTATTTCTCCTTGAACCATTCTGGAACCTCGGAATTAAAATTTCTTCTGGACTCACTCCTCCAGCTTACTACTGACTCGTAACTCCACTGAACGCATTGTCACTTCCTTCTCTTGTAAGCGTGCTGCACAGACCCCACGGATAACGCCGTCTCTGTTGTTGACGACGTCATCGCTTAGACGGAAGTGTGATTACTGAGCCGTTTCTTAGAAACGGGTTGCATAACCCCGTTTTTCCACCACTGTTCGGCGCGGACGACATAGAAAACGCAGCCTCATTTATTATTACGTGTTGGACCGAGTTTATAGAGCTGTTGCCTGGCAACGTGTTGATCAAATCTGTTACATTATTATTTAGTTTGTGGTTATTCAAGTGTCGTCATAAATAGCGCACAGATAAATAAAATGTCATTCAGGAGATAATACAAACAAGTGACTTAACCACGATCATTAATTTGGGTTGAAAATTTATGATAAAATTATGCAATGAAATGATGTCCCGAAAAATATTATGTTCTAGAATGTAAAAAGATGTATTTAGATGTTCACTGGCGTTTCGAAGAAGCATATTGCCTCCATCTTCGTGGAAAAATATTATTAGCGAGCAACAAGCAAGCTGGGTGACCTGCGTGGCGAACTAAACTCAGTTATCTTATTAGTTGCTTCTTGCTCGCTGCTTGCTTAACACATCTTCTGCCTTGAAGATGGAGAGACTAAGTTCCTTTGAAATGCTGCACAACTTCTATTACAGTAAGAGCATCGTACGCAAGAAGACAGTCGAAAATTGAAATCCAAAAAATATCTCATTTTTTGTCTTTATTAAATTATTAGCGAAACCCCGGTTGACAATTCAGCTGCATGTCTTATTCATTAAGTAAATTTTCGTACTTTTAGCTTCCCCTGCTTCCTCCTGTATTCCCTTTCAGTCCTACATATTATCGAGTGATGCGTCGAGGCCGACGTTAAATCAATCTCTCACAAATAGTCAATCGAAAACTTCCCTCCTTTTATACCATATTTCACTTCACATTAAACGCCAAATGTTATCAGTACTCACAGAGTACAATCACGCGATAGAGCGATTATAGACGGGGTTCGGATTGGTAGTTGTGTTTACTGAACACTTACAGATCCGTGATTACAAGTAATTATAACAGTTTCACTAATGTACACTTTACAATTCACTAGAGCACATACTTAGGTCTTCTCAGCCTGCAGTGTCTTCACCAGTCGTTGTCTGGCAACGGCTTCAGGCGGCGGACGTTCTCCTTTCTCTGGGTTTCCGTACAGTCCCTGTGCATCAACAACAGCTCACAAGGACTGAACCACAGCAGTCCACCAACTCACTCACTCACTTATCTCACTGACTCAAAGTCACATTGCAACTGACGGTCAGTCAGTCAGTAAGTCTTGGTGTCGAGCCCTATGACAGTTACGGTCTTGTTTTTGTGGTACGCCTTCTCTGACGAGAGGACGGCTGTCTCTTTTATACACTGCTGGCCCTTGCCAGCGCAGTCTTTCTTGGGTCCGAGTCTCTTGGGACTCGAGACCATATATTACTGTCTCAGAATTGAGACTTCCCTTTTCGTCGTCTCTTACGTCTCCCAGGGTCACGGTGGAAGTATTCGACCCCGCCTAAACACTGGTTATCTGACTGACTAACCACTAACTTCTCCTTATAAACTCTCGGCATGTACCATACAGAAAACACCGTTCCTCTGTTTTTGTGTTATTTTTGGGTGTCGAAGTTTCCATTGCCTAGGAATGGCCGTTGTTTGCAGAGCTATTATTTAACTAGGGCTGTTGTATAACTGCTTATTTCGCGGTCGTTGGCTGGCAGTGGATCTACATACCTCAGTACGGTTTGTTTGCCTTTTGTGGCCAACTGCATATGCCAGCCGAAGACCACAAGTGATGCAAGTGATGACTGTGCTTGCAGCTATGGCGTGCTAGAGATGCAAAGAAGCGATGGGCTACATGAGATGGGCTACCCAAAATGGCAGCTCGTCCTCTGTCTCCTTCTGGTCTACAGTATGCTCTACCTGTCTCTCTTCAAGGGCGTGAAATCCTCAGGTGGGTCAGCCCCTACATGTTTTACTATTATTCAGAAGTCCAAAACTTTGTCCAAAACATCCCTGAGAGTAAGTCGTTCCATGAGTAGGCAATGTGTTAGAAGAAAAACACTGTCTACTCAACGAAAATCCCGGTATGGCGATTTTGGTCCCAAACGCACTTTGAAAACAGAATGTAGTAATTTCATAATTATGACGCAAATATCTTCGACACTATCTGATGATGGCGTTATCTCAAAAAAGTTAAAGGCAGTGTAGTTTACGTGACCCTTACATCGAATTTTGTTATATTTTTAAAACACGAATATTACTGTTTTCTGAGATGTGACGTCGTGTATTCTGGTAAATTTATTCCGACGTTTCGGAAGAAAGTGCTGCCTCCATCTTCATGGTAGAAGAGTAAGCCGAGAATGGAAGGAGTAGTCTGGAAGCAAGGAGAGACATGGGGAGGAAGATAGAAATCTTCAAAGTCACCACTTCGAGAACCACCACCCAGTACCTCACATTTTTTAAATATGGCTCATCATACAGTAATTGGTTATATAAAATAGATTGGTGCATAACATACAGCACACATAAGCGTAAGATTTACTCGAGCCAGTTTATTCCTGCTTTCGCATCATATGTTCACTTAGTGCGATGGCTTCAGAGGTTTTGATAGGATTCATTTCCCGATGTACTACCTACATTAAAGGTAAAAGGTAAAGCTATCCCTGTAATAGGCCATGAAGGCCCATATGGTTTTGAGGCGTCGAGGCTCCCACATTTTCTAGACAATCGGCTCACAGATGGCGGTGCGGTTGTCAGCCTAACGCGCCGGCCGCCCTTTACCCCCAGGAAGATTCCTGGTACTCATTTCTGTTAGAGACTGAGTCGACCCTAGGGCCGTAGTGCGGCTAGAAGGATTAGGTCAATTGAAGAATTCAATTATCTCATCGGGAATCAAACCCGCGACCTTCCGGCTTGTAGCATAGTGCCTCAACCAACCACGCAACCGCGTGCCCCACTACCTATATAAAACAGAATGCGAGTTACCATCCAAGTATATTTCATTTATTGCCTGAGTAGACTGAGTGTTGACCGCCTCTGTGGTCTAGTGGTCAGAGTTCCTGGCTACAGATCCAGAGGTCCCGTGTTCGATTCCCGGAGCTACCAGGTTTTCTGAGAAGTAGTGGGTTTGGAACGGGGTCCACTCAGCCTCGTCAGGGTAATTGAGGAGCTATTTCAAGTAAATAGCGGCTCCGGCCTAGAAAACCGAGATTAACGTCCGTGGGGATCCGTTGCGTTGACCACGTGACACCCTCTATCCGCAAAATTTGGCACTAATTTTGCCAACAAACGGCGGTCGATCAGTCGGTATAGTTCGCTTGCTGACTATAGGTCACGGAATTATTTTGTTTTAGACTGAGTGTTATAGAGACCCTAACGTGTTTCGGCCTTACAAGACCACCATCAGGGGGTATACCTTACTAAAAGAGAAATTTACAATACATAGGAGAAAGTGTAAAACCTTAAAACCATGAAATATCTTGGGTGTGAGTGCACTTAACGTCAGACTTTGTGTTAGTGTACTCTAATGGTTATGTCGGTTATATTAAGTGCTGTGGCGTTGACCATACTGTTTTGTTATGATGTTTGGGCTACCTCATGCTCACTTACTTTTGAAGTGAATAATCACAAGGCTGCTCGGCCATTTCATGGTACCTTGGAGAAGTGTTAAACACGAAATGGTCGCAGACCTTCAATTTCATTGACACTAGAAGAAAGCGAGCATGAGACAGCCCCAAACAACGTAACGAAAAAACGTGGCCAACTCAACAGCACTTCACGTGACCTACATCGCCATATCTTAAAGGCGTATCGATAAGGCGGTAGTCCTCGACGGGGAACACAGAGTCACACAGGCAGCAAAGGAGTTCAAAGATTTCTTAACAGGTAAACGCGTTTCTGTATTAAGGGACCAGTGTTTGTAAAGAAAGTAACATCTGTATAATAAAGGCGATGGCGAATAAACACGGTGAAACAGCCAGACTCATTTCGAACCCCCAAAATCCCAGAGATTTCTGTTCGTTTGCATGTCTTACCTGAAACCTTGAAGATGGAGGCACTCCATTCCTCCGAAACACGGGTAAATGCCTACCAGACTACACGACGTCACATCCCAGTCAGTGCAGTGGGGACTTCATGTTTCATACAGTTTATATGGTGCACATTTGATGCGACACAAGTAAAAGTAGTTTACGATTTTATGTACTCTGCCAAGCGACGTCAGTCATGTACACTGAACATGTACTACGATGCATTTTGCCCTCAGGTAAAGTGGTATGGGCGACGGCGACGCTCCCATACGTCGTTTTAACCATCCTTCTAATCAGAGGCCTGATGCTGCCTGGAGCTATCGGGGGTATAGTGTACTACCTGAAGCCAGAACTGGGTCGACTGACAGACACTCAGGTAACCGCATGTTCAGAGTCCACTCCAGCTGCCCCTTGCTAAGCAACTGCCTTCTGCTGACTGTCACACTAACAATTAATTTGAAAAAGACAAGTTCGACGGCTGCTCCCTTCTTATTTCTTGCTTGCTTTGCTTGAGGCCGAAATGCTTCCTCAGTACCTTTACATATACAAGTATTCCGAGATAGTAAACGGTGAAGTTGTCCCTGTGCTTAACTAATTACAGGAGAGTAGATGTATAGATCGTCGGTCACGGTAGCCGAGCGGTCTAAGGCATGCACTGTCTTCGCTCGCTCGGAAGCCGGAATCGTTGGTTCGAATCCCACTCAGGGCTTAGATGTTTGTGTGCGTTTTTCTGTATTTGTCTACAGGTAGAGGCCTTGCGACGAGCTGATCACTCGCCCAAGGAGTCCTACCGAATGTGTAAGATTGTGAAACGGAGAGTTTCATGGAGGTAGGCCTAGGCCCAAATTGGGGCTGTAGCGCCACAGAAAAAAAAAGATGTATAGATCAATATGTTGTTGGCCTCGGCACTAGTTTGAGGTAAATGGTCAGCTTCACGCCCCCGCCGCTTTACCCTTGGAGAAATAGCCCCTAGTACCCTTTGGATAAGTGGTTGAGTGGGCTCCAGAACTGGTCTGGACGAGTTGGAGAAGACAAAAATCTTACCCCTACCGGGGCACGAACTCATGCCGTCCAGCCTGCATCACAAATTAAACCAAAACCGCTTCCCTCAACATCCTTTAGAATTCATTATTCGTCGATTATTCTGCCAATCGACGTTATGCTATGAATTTATGACAGCGTCGTTAAACAAACAAATAAATAAATACAGAATTTCTTATAATATTGTCACGTGTTCGGGATTTGCGTGACTAATAATGATGGGTTCTGGATTTGATGATTAAATTTAGTACGCTTCTTTTACAGTCTCTCTTAATCACAATCTATCGCTAATCTACTCACTTCACAGATCACTAGGACACGCTGCATTCATGTTCTCATAATCTTCTGTCCTTGTACTCTCAACTACTCTCAGCTCCGGAATTCGCTTCTCTCATAATCGCTTTGCACGAACCAAGCAGAAAACAGAGCTTGTGTTGTTAACGAAGCTTGTTTATCGCACCGTTGCTTAGGAATTGACTACTTATTGTTATCACACGCTTAAGCGGGATGGTGTTAATGGGCCGTTGCCTAATGGGATCCCCGTTGTTGCGTGCACATGTGTTGCGGGAATGAACTTACCAACCCATTGCCTAGCAGTGGGTATACACGTTACAATATCCAACAACTGTCATTTTCATCAACAGCCAGCAAGTAGTAAGTAAGCGGCCTCCGTAGTCTAGAGGTAACGTTCCCACCTCATGACTCGTGGCACGCGGGTTCAAATACCAGGCGGAGGTCGTCGAATTTTTAAGGGCGGAAAAATTCAGGGAACAAGTCCTCCGGGAGGGACTTTAAGCTGTGTGTCCCGTGTCGTAACTTTACGGCACGTAAAAGAACCTCATATCCCCAAAGGGGATAACTGAGCCAAATTCCGCTAAGACACTGCTAAGCAAGTGGCCGAACTCGCTTGCTCGGCGGGACTGATGGTACGCACCATTATCGGTAGGATATAGAGACTGGTAGAATATCATAGAGGGAAGCACAATAGATCAAACTGGTCGCGGTGCATGGGGAAATCCACCCTCTCTAAATAACTAACTAACTAACTAAGTAGTAAGTAATGTGTTTTGGGGGGCTTCACAATTATCTTCCGATTGTTTATCATGATGTAATATATTTTTGACAAAACTTATAGAAGAATACTACATTTTGTGATTGACGTCGAGTAGTCCATCGAAAGTACTGCCTCCATCTTCAGGGTTCAAGAAGAACCCAAACAAGCAAAGGCAGACAGCATACAGACAGACTCGCACTGGTTCAACTAAGTCTGTCGATAAATGCGAGTCCTTCTTGAGAAGTCAACAGTCGACCAGCTACTCAAGAATTTACCAAAATTTTTTGGAAACCGAATGTTTATTGTCGCGTTCACAACAGTCGGCCACGTCTCTCTCTCTCTCTCCTGAGCCACATGAATCCAGTCCATAACCTCATGCTATCGCACTACAGTTAATTCTAATGTTATCCTCCCACCTACGCCTAAATCTTCCTAGAGATCTATTTCTTTCTGGTTTCCTCACCAAAATCGCTGTATTCATGTTGCCTAGAATTCGTGCCAACTGTGCTGCCTATCTTATCCTCCTCGACTTGATCGTTCTAATTGTGTTTGGCGAGTTGAACTTTTGACAAATACAATTTTGGATGTGCCAGAATTTACTACTATGACTTCATTATAATTAAAAATTTCGTGTAAACTCTCATTCCTAATTGTGGGTTTGAAAATAGTTTCTCTACTTCTACATTATAATCACGTAATAAAGATTTATTGTATTTAAGGAATTTGTCGAGTACACCTTCTAGTTCCTCACAGAACCTGTTCTTCATATCAGTAATTTTATCTTCTGTTGGGGCATGAAAATTCAGAGTAATGTTATCACACCAGCGACCCCTTAGTATTATGTATGACATCCTGCCACTAACAAACTCTACCCCCTTCACCTCTGATAAGATTTCTTTATGCGCAAATCCATGGTTCTCATTCTCTTCCCAAAGAGAAAAGTAAAATCCCTGTTGGTTCAGTATCGTCCCAGCCCCATTTGACGTACTGCACGCCCACTCAATCTGTGCAACATTTCGTAACAAACTCTTTCTTTAACGATGATCAGTTGTTAGCCTCAGGCTCAAATCCAAACTTAGAGGGCCACCCATATTCGGCTTTCCACTACTCCTTAACCAGTATGTTTCGTATATATATATCAGAAAAACTCTGATTACTTTTTCAAACTGTACTTTCATTTTTACTTTTTTCCATTATTCATGCTTCAAGGGGTTTTAATTATGATGATGATGATGAGGATGATGATGATGATGATGATGATAATAATAATCCGTGGGCGCTAGAGTAAATGATGAACTTTCGCCTCTGTTTTACAATTTCATAAATTTCTACACAGTCGTTAGGACTCCTTGGACAAGTCAAGACCCACACGCGATAACACAAGCACAGAATAAACGCAGACAAATATTTATGCCTCGAATGAGGTTTGAATTGACGACCTCAGTGTTTCAGCGGATAAATGCAGTTCATGCCTTAGACCGCGCGGCTTAATTATCTGATTACTGTTACAAAATGCGAATCCAATCTGTGTGTTTTGAAACCAAAATTAATTGAACCATAAACTGTAAATAATAACAACACATGACGCTACAATTTCTGTTTATAGCTTCGCTTTACACCGAAAATGGTCACACTTTTATCACAGCGGGTTCTGTTATCCTATGATCGGCTTAGGAAAGTGATCATGTTCACTGATCGTAAACTGATTCTAAGTGGATAATCCTCTTTGTACATTCCCCTCTCTAAATTAATGCATATTTTAATTTGGGGCCCATTTTCCAGCCATTTCTAATGGTTATTTGCGCTGTAGGCCTACAAAATAACGAGCAAACAGAACAGATTAATCAGCGAGACGAAGCGTATGACAGAACGCTGAGCACGACGATCAAAAGTAGCACGGCAGAGAAAGGCCGAACGTTTGTCTTATTCGTCTTTACAAATTGTATGACCTTTATAAGGCTATAAATTGTAAGCTGTTTTCCATTTAGAAAACGTATGGGGGATGGGCAATATCGTACTATCATGTATGCGGGGTTTGCGTGACTAATAATAACAGGTTCTGCACTGTATGACTGGATTTATTGACACTTCCTTTACAATTGTAACGAATTACAAGAGCGCACAATCAATGACTCTCTAAGACTCGCTCCATTCCTTACTGGACCACGAGCGTCTACTCTCCCTCTATGACGAATGGCGAATCATTGCTCACATACTGAATTCCTACTGAATGCCGAATCAAGAAACTCTCGAATTCACGAATGAACTAACTTTTATAACCACCAGAGGACCGAATAAAGATGACCGCCTGCAAAGGTTCCACTACTGTTCTTCATGAATGCGTTGTATCGGAAACATGCATGAACCGTTACCTAGCAAATGAGTAACTCCGTGTCTTGCTCCACTATTCCGGCTTTTAGGTGATGTTTACCTAGCCATTGCCTAGCAAATGGTCATATTCCGTGACAATAGTTTCCCCAGAGCCTAAAACTACTTTCAAAAGTCCAAATGCGCTGTAGTAATACGTCTTCTGAGGCCGCGCCATAACTCAAGCGGTTAGTCGCTGGTTTTCCACCGCGGCGGCCCGGGTTAAAGCCCGACTCTGGTCAAGTGGGATTTGTGGTAGACAAAGTGGCGCTGGGGCAGGTTTGTTCCGAGTACTTCGGTTTTCCTTGCCAATCTTTATTCCACCAATTACTCCACTACCATCTGGGGCTGGTACAATAGGCCAGAAGTGGCCGCAGTACAAGGGACTTAGTCCCACCCCACTAGCAATAAAAGAAATACGTATTGTGACGTGGATGGCGCAACAGGAAGTAGGGGTCACGTGAACTCTGCGGTCTCGCGAGTGACGTCACATACCCCCACTCCTTCCATCAGTGCGCAATGCTCCGTAAACACTCCCTCCCCCGCGGTGAACTAACAGAGGAGCAACTGTGTCAGGCAACCATTGCCGCGGTGACGTAACAAGGGATACCGCGGTTACTACACAGCAGTAAACAACTCTCGACAGTGTTGCTAGGCAACGTGTAAACTCGGCACCTATCACGTAACTGTTTTCTATGTTGTCCGTGCCGAGGTTAAATAAGGATCAGCTAGCACTATTCAGTGTGTTTAGTGAACCAGTTACTAGAGAGAGAATAACCAGTTAGTTGAAATATAGCAGCCGCCGAAGACGCAGTGTGGCATTCGCCGGAGGAAGTAATTGTGATACTGCCGATGGCAGTAATTGTAATTGTGAATGGTGTGAGTGTGAGAACGATTGTTCAATAAATTCGCTA